AAGGGAGGCCATGCTTGATTTCCTGCAAAACATATGCATAGTGAGTCTCATGTTGCTTGCAGGGTTAACCTGAAGCCAATCTCTGAATCATTCTCATATAGACAGAATGGATTCCAGCTGGGATTCAGGGTTCGTCACAAGGTTAAAGCTACAAAACCTTTAATGAACTATTTGGCTAGAGAACAAAAGTGGTCTTCTAAGACTTGTGGTTTTAGCTTCTCAGGCCTACTTACATATCTGAATTTCATGGGTTGAAACCTCTATTTTCCAGTAGAGACCTGCTGCAATATAGATGCTCCAGGAACATTACCCCCAGGAGAACACTGAGCAGGACGTTCATATGGAAGCCTTTCTGGAAACCTTGGAGCATGTATACAGACATACCTGAAACAAGGAGTAAGATATTTGCTATGAAATACACCAGTAAGTGTGTTGTGTATCCAATTTTCTATTAGTAATTATGCTGGGAGTTGTCTTCTTTCAGGTTTTTTTTTCCTTACTTGGAATTTAGTGGAAATATCGGAATACTCATTTTTATGACTCAAATTGGCTTTTTTTTTTTTCCTCCCATAATGCTCTGATACTGCTTTGACAGTGGCTGCAGTTTTCCTCTAAACTGATGGATAATTTTGACCTCCATGAAAAATTTAGAAAAATGTATTTTCTCATATTGGCTTTCCACATCCCAGTTCACAAAATTCCAGGCACCATTTTGCTTCAGCTTATTCTAGAGTTAACTTATATTAGAATAATGTAGCTTAGACATAAATTTATTTCTTTGGAAATCTCATTTTAAGTGCAATTGAAATTTGAGGACTGGGTCTTAGAATTTAGATACATAATGATAGGTTTCTCAACAGTTCATAAGTGCTCACAAAAATATGATTTTGCTTGCAGAGCCTAAATTTCAGTATTAGAATTTCAGCCACATTATTTAGTGATGTTCACAAGTTTCTAGTCATGAATGTGATCCAGAAATCAAATCTTCCCTGTTTATCAAAGAGAGAAAAAAACGTTGTATGGATTTAATAATTTCCTATTCATTATATACAAGTCATTTCACTAACATTTCCTGGATAACATACTTTTAGGCTTCAATAGCAGTTATGCAGCCCTGACTGTCCGTATCTTATGGCTCTGTGACAGAATACACTGCCTTGCATGGAAAATCTTCCAATTCAATCCTGGCATTTTCCAGGTCAGAGGGAAAAAAAAGATCCATGTATGAATCCTTGAAGACTGAGAGGAGGGAACAAAGGAGGGCAAACTGACAAAACAATGTTAAATAAATTTGTTTAATTTGTTAAACAAATTTGTTAAATGAATACATAAATAAAATAAACAATGCAAACTCCACCCTTTATCCATTTGTGTGTGATGTTGTGACATAAATGCAAAATGCTTATATTGGGATATCATACTGCATTTTTCATAATTTGCATAATGATAAGGACGGACACATACAAAACCATAGCAAGTTGGTATTTAAATGATATCATTCCCAATAACCTCTCTAATGTATGCACCTTCCAAGTATATAGACTTCAGCTCCCAGAATTCTCAGCAATGCTGGATGGAGAATTCTAGCAACTGAAGTTCATGCATATAATAATAATTTTCTAAAAAAAACAGTGGTCTCATTTTAAGAAAGCTTCCTGGGAATAGATAATCCATAATGTGATGCAGAACCAGTGCAGTGATTCAAAGACTCATCATAGAACAGGCTACTGGGTAGTCATGCACTCTAAAGACCTTAGTTATCAATGACACAGAGTACTAAAACATATATATTTAAGAGTCATAAAAAACGCAGGAAGCCACATGCTTAATCACATAATCAGCAGTCAGCCCAATAATGATTTCACAGTTAAAAAGCTCAGCTTCTAACAAATGAGTTTGGTGCACAACGAATTGGCAATATCACACATAAAAAGCATAAAATTTTTCCACTGCAAGGATAGTTACCTTTTGTTCATACTCAGAGGGATAGTATATAAAAGAGTGACCTTACATCTGACTTGTATACTTCCACTGTCCATAAAATAAATAAGGTATCTATAACCTAATAAAGCTAATCTGTCACACTTGGTATGAAAACACCACTGAGCACTCCAGACTCTCATTAAATTGTGTCTTTGTAGAAAGAAAGACCCTCATACTCTTTCTTCCCATTCTGCCAGTTGTATTTCTATGTCTTCCTGACTGTATTTCATGAAGTAATTAAGGTCTATCTTATCAAATTAAAGACATTAAGCATGCAAGCCCATAAGCGGTATACAAATTTACCATGTAAATGTTACCAATCTAACTTTCTGTTCCATACATCTCTATGCATATATCAGACTTCATACCAAGCTCAGCAATAAATCTCAACTCTTCAGGGACTGGGTTACAGCAGAAGTTATAGATGGCATGGTTAGCTAGGTAAGTTACTTGACTACAAACAAGACAGAAATCATACATAAAGAGAAGATAGGTCTCCTGCAAAGCACAGAAACCAGACCATGCACATACATGTCTCTTCTTTTAAATCTTAGGCCTTTTTGAATCAACAGAAGGCTGACCTGGTCTTGTGATTGGGGACCTATTAGAGATGTTTGAGGAAACTGATTTTTGTGAATTTTGAACTACTTTGAAGTAAGGTACTGAACATAATATCATTATCCTTTGATATTATTTGAATCTTGTGATGCAATTCTGAAATTTATGAAGTGCTGTTTCATTATAAGCATGAAGCTACATTCATAAATGTAAATGATTAGATGAAATACATTTCTATACATTTGTAATTATATGCGATTATTTTATAGACTGGGGAAATGTCATGTTACTATAAAAACAGGATGGAATAGACTTATGAATAAGCACATGATTAATTAGCATGAACTGAAAATTTACCATTCCTACTATATGTATTTTAGAATTTAAAACAAAAACAGGAAGGGACTGACTTACAGGTGACACAAACTAGAAATATATCGTTGGTCTTATCATGAAGATCCTTTTTCTAGGGTGTAGAGAGGGCATCCAATAGAAATTTGTTCCTCCAATGTGCCCCAGCAGGGAGGCCCAAAACATTTTTGGTTAAAACTTTGGGCAAAGGCACACTTCCCAATGTTGAAAAACGAACTGAATTTACCCAACACCTGGAAACTGGGAAACAAAAATAAACTAGCCTAGACCAAAGTAAAATGCTACCTCAAATTGATAAAAAACACACTTGTAAGTATAGCTATCTTCTTTCCACTTTTTAAAAAATTGACTTTTACAGTAAGTCCAATGATATATTTTCCTCTAGTGGAATAGGATATCCCATAGCGGGATATATTGGAGCCATCCTTTGGGGAGGGAAGATAGGAGCAATCTCACCATGTGAAGAAACAGAAAACCAAGTAGCTGCTCTGTATTGGAGCTCTGATATCAAAGAGGGCTGAAATCATTGCACTCCTAGTCAATTTTGCTACCAGGACAATGATACATTCATATGCCAAGGAAAAGCATGTTTAGTTCCATCTATAATGGTTGTACTGAAACCTTATATCAACTGTTGAAAAGGCACAAAAAGTAGTCTGAAGTCCTAAATTCTGCAGTTTGTACCAAATATATTATGACCATTCTGTGAACATCCAATTTGTATCATTCATTCTCCAAGTGAGTTTCAGACCTGAGATAGAATGATGATAACACTAATTTCTGACTCCTGCAAAAAACTTTTAGAATCAATGTAAAAGCTGGATAGTATGGATACTATGGAATATAGGCAAAGGGCACATAGCATCTGTCAGCCCCCAAGCCCATGCCAAACTGACATACTAGACGCCAGAAAGGGTGCCTTCAGTGAAAAGAGTTTAAGAGATGCAATTTGTAATTACCTGAATGGAAAGTGCAAGAGGTCTTTTACACCTCAAATATAAGACTGAACATGGAAAGCAATGAACCTATGGGTGTTTCAGAAGAGAAGTTACTTCTTGACATAGGGATGTAGTGGCTCCATAGATGACTGACCAGGCACTGTTTCTTCCTGTACTGTTCCTTGATTGCTCTGGAACTAGTCAGGACCGGAACTGGAAACTAGAAAAAAGTATTCTTTTCACAGAATTAAAGTTTAGCTTTTCCTATTATATGTCCTTGTTCAATATACGTCAGTGCAAATATTTTGTGAGTCCACTTTTTATCACTGCAACCATCAAGTGACTGGCTACTATGACTGGGAATTTTGGAGATACCTGAGCTGTGGAAGAACTTTTGTGAAAGTGTAGACCACTCAAATTCAATGACAGTAAAAAGAAAACTGTAAGTATTAGTTAAGTGACCCTTAAAATTTACCAAGCTGTACTAGCATCTTACATGCCATTGTCTTGCCTATATCATCATGTTACTGAATTTCTGCTGCAATAAAAGATCAAATATCTTGAAACAGTGGCCTGGAGACAGCCTTGAACTTTGGAAGATCATATGAATGTTCAGATAGCCATGACATAAACTTTTGTCTGATGAAGAGCCAAAGGCTTTGTAGTCCAAACCTGTTTCTTTCCAGCCTGAAACAGTGATCCACATCAGTCATGTTTAAACTGACCACTTATGTTTCCATTAGCTCCAAGTACAGGAAAAGGAAACATTCTTGTTTTTCTTGAAAGGAAATCCTTTGGAGCTCCATTCCATCCCTTGAAAACTGAGTTGCTGACTTAGTGTCTTTACCCTTTTTATTGCATTTTGATGTTTTTGTGTTCCTTGAATACTTTTTGCTTTTCAAATTTACAATATTTAGGCATAGATATGAAAAACATATCCTAAATGAAGCCCTTCCCAAATATGAAAACAATATTTGAAGAAAATGGCATTTACTTGAGTCATAAAAACTCATAAAAAGAGTTGCTGGGAGTTGGGCACCATATAAATTTAATAAATTATTAATATTATTATTATTAAAACAATTACCATGCAGAAAAAAAAATTGTGACATTTTATTATGAAGGGAAAGCCCCTAATAAATGACATCACTGGCATGGTTAGGTTCAGAGTTTTCAGATTTCCTTTCTTTCCTACCTTCTTTCCTCTAGTTCAATATCAGTAATTATTTAGAACTTAGGGTGAACTTCCAGTTGGCTCAATAGCCTTTGTCCTTCAAAGGTTTACCAGCTTCTGCTTCTCATCCCCAAATCAGGGATTCTCAAACCTTTTGGCTCCTGGGCCCCTTCTGAGCTTCATTTACTTCTGTGACCCCCCTCCATAGTAGCTGTTAGCTGGAAAAAAGACCATGGCCCCCTAGAAATATGGCATGGGCCCTTGGGGTGCCATATGGCTCATAGTGAGAACTACTGTACTAAGATATGCCATGATTAGTCCCTGCCTGTCAGTCCTTCGAGGTAGTCCAGACAAGAAGCACCAACCGTGAGTACTAACATTACCTTTATTGTAAAGTTACAGTGACAGATTCTAGGAAGGGTCCCTTCTGAGATGCTTTCTCTACCCCGACCCCTCCTTCGGACTCAGATTTCATTTATCAAACCATTGTCTAGGCTGTGGCTCATCCTCCTGTCTTCCAAGTTCATTCCCATATTACACTGCCAGACTGTCTACTGTCTCTGCTCTGTAACATGCTCATAAAAGTTCAACCATTTTGTCCCCCTCCACACACCCCTATTACTCAAAATTTACTTATGCAGTTGCCTAAAACCGTCTCTTTTTAAAATCCAAATTTGAATCCAAATATCTTCTGAAAATTGCAATTGTTTAGAAAGGTGTCTTAAGCCTTTCAGAATTTTAGGGCACACAATTCATCCTTTAAAGTTCTTACTTCTCCCAAATGGATACTGGTTCCCCCCACTACCACCACTCACACACTTTGGAAGTACAGCCCTTGTCATGCCATGCAAACCTGGTGTGTCCCCAAGCTGACTGAAGTTTGCACCCTGCTCTAATGCAAGATCTGTCTGTTGAATGATTAAATTTGGTTTTGTCTAAAGTAGAGATATACAACCTGCATGCATCTCCTAAAAGCCTAGATTAAGATCTTCAGAGGCATTGAAAAGTTTCTACCAAACTATTTTTTTAATATGACAGAAGAGAAAGTGATTAAATACATAACTAATCATATTAAGTATATTAATTTTAATGAAATGTAAATTAAAACTAAAATGAAATTTCACTTGGTATATGGCCCCAACGCAGAATTTAAAGGCAAAAGTGGCCAGTTAAATGATGTACTTCCCAGCTTTAAATTGTATGGCCACTATAATAAAGGTGACCATACAATTTAAAGCTGGGAAGT